AAATAAAAAACCATAATAACCGACACAATTATAAAAAAAATAAAAACGAGCGCAAAAAAAAAAATCCATCTTAACCCGGCGTTGGCTCTGCGCAGACTGAGCTCTGCAGGGCGGGGGAAGGCTTATAAAGCCTTGCTCCACCCTGCAATTAGGCTCAGAGCACTCTGATTGGTGGGTTTAAGCCATCCAATCAGAGTGCTCTGACAGGTAAATGAAGAGACTGACAGGTAAGTCAGCACTGGTTGGTTTGAAATCCACCAATCAGAGTGCTCTGTGTCATTTTACACAGCGTGGGAAAGTTCTTTGGAATTTCCCCACGTTGTGTAATTTGACTCATAACACTCTGATTGGTGGATTAAGTAACCAATCAGAGTGTTATGAGTCAAATTACACAGGCTGCTCACAGTTTAATAGACTCGCGGTATAGCGAGTAGGGGCAAAATTTACTAATACTAAGTAATTTTTACTTAGTATTAGTAAATTTGGCTGAAAGACCAATTTAGGTCTTTCTGCCTTTTGGTAGATAACTCCCTAATACCATGGGAATTAGGGAGTTATCTACTAAGCAGCTGCAATAGAAGTGCCGAAATTCTAAAATGGCAAAATGCTGAAGTTCTGAAATTCCGAAGTGCCGAAGATGCTGAATTTCCGAAGTGCCGAATTGCCAAAGTCCCGAATTTCGGAATGCCGAGCTGAACTGAAAATTTTCCCATGCACATGCCGAGAGAGGCTTGTGTAATCGTGTGACTTTGACCAGTATGTACATCTAGCATCAACCTACTATTGTGTTTTCAGCTCATATGTCTCAACTACGCTATTTGCATCCAGTGGTTCTCCAGCATCCTGAAAATTCATATTTGATTTACTTTGTTTCCTAAATGGATAACTTGCCTTACTAGTCTTTCATAGCCTGACTTCTATTCACTTAACAGTGTACAAACAGCATTTTTGTTATTCTGTTCTTGTTATCAATCTCTACCCATTGGCACTGTTTGCTAGGTGTGTTTGGGCATCAGGACATAGATTGAGGTTCTATAAGTGCATGCACCCTCCTTTAGATATCTTTTGAGAAAGCTTATATAGCATATGAGTGAGTCTATTTACCTGTGCACCAGAAGTGTATTAGTGTATGCCTTACCACCGTGCTACAATTTCCTATGTAGACCAAGCCTGTTTATTATTTTATTATAATGTAAAAATGTGCAGTTATATCCATGCACATGCACATGAGTCTATTTACCTGTGCACCAGAAGTGTATTAGTGTATGCCTTACCACCGTGCTACAATTTCCTATGTAGACCAAGCCTGTTTATTATTTTATTATAATGTAAAAATGTGCAGTTATATAAAATGCCATAACAATGTTTATTTTGTAAGACTTGCATTAGCTATCGTGGCAATGTGAGCTTGTAATATCTTGCAATACAAAATAAAGTTGTTGTTTTTTTTTTAAATCACTTCCCCTGCCTGCGATTGACACAGCCTACATAAAACAAAATGGTTTTATATTCAATCAGATGTAATTTACTTTCAAAGTTTTTCTCCTGCTCAGTAATTTGAACTTTAATTACATACAGGAGGCTCCTGCCGGCTATTAGCAGAGCAGGAGATAAGCAATTCTGTATTAAACAGAATTTTGCATAAAGGAAGTGTAAACATTAGATGGCTTATAGGAAGTGTTTAGGCACATGCAAGGAGGTATGCGTAGAGCTGCACAAACAAAGTGATTAACCTCCTAAATGGCAGAGAATTGAGCAGTGAAACTCCCAAGGCATGAACTATACACAAATACTGTTTCATTAAGCTAAAGTTGTTTTGGTGACTATAGTGTCCCTTTAAGTAAACATTTACTTAATCTCACAAAAATAAGGTAAATTATTGTATAAAATCAATACACTTTTAGGAAATGGTAGATAAAAGATATGGTGATGGAAGAACAGGTGAAAAGAAATTGTTTGATGGGGGATAGAAAACCCATATGAAGGAAATAATAAAGCAAAGGTATAGCAGGTTCCGTTGGAAAAATAAAGCCTGCACTAGCACATGGATTAATAATAGAGAGAGGAACAAAAAACATGCTGTGTCAGAATAACCTGATCATCTTGCCCTGCACAGAAAGGTATGGATGGAATTTCTAAAACCTGTTGCCCATGAAGACTGTTTGCGAGTTTTTCCAGATCCTGTGTGTGGGAAGCAGCTTCACCATGTAATGGTTGTAAACGGCTCCATTCTATATATCCTGTCTGTCCCCTACCTAGATGGTGCTTGTTCTCTCATAGCAGAATACAATTCATTTAAAACAGTCTGTTAGCTCTTGAGCTAGAAGGTGATATGTGACTGTTCAATAAAATAAAATAAAAACCCATTCAGTGAAAGGTTGGTGGATACATGGAGTATTGTTCCATGGGGAAAGGTGGGAGTAAATGTAATAAGGGGATTTAAGCCTGTAGAAGATATGTTTTGGCCTATTCCGGATATTTGTAAAGGTTGAGGACTTAATCCATTTTATACACTAAATAAAATAGAATGTTGGGAGGTATGCCATTATATTTTCTTGTTACATATTTTTTATTTTATCTTACCCTGCATCTGAACTGTCATCTATTTGGATGCCCACATAATACAATCAGATTGTACTCAATATTTGGCAAGTCCTAAAATGTTAGTTGTGTGTGAAGACCAAATGCTTGTATTATTATTACTATTATGATATTTATATAGCACCATCAAATTCCACAGCGCTTTACAATACATCTGACTTCCCATGGAATACATTGTATATAGTATACTTTCTGTTTCCTAGTTCCCTTTTGAGATACACTGTCCTTCTTTGTTCCATTTGTTCTTCTCTAGGGTTTACCCGCCCCATAATTAGTATATCCTCTTACTGTCAGACTCTTTTTCTTTCCCTTTTTACTGTGTGGAAAGCTGGTGCAATTTGTATTGTGCCAGCCCAAAGAACATGTTCCAGTGAAATTCAACCCTCCCCACCGAACAATATGGAGCAAATCACTATAGTGATAGGCAAGTGTATGCAGAGACACAGTGACAACAGATCAAAGAGTAATGAGCAACTTGTTATGGTGGTTGGAGTGTACTTTTGATTAAAGGAACACTCTAAGCACCAAAACAAATACCTCATAATGTAGTGTTTTTGGTCCAAGACCCTGTCCTTACACTGTTGGAAATGTATAAATGTCTGTTTATGAGATATGCTTACATTTGTCTGTCAAAATGTCTCTGGTGGCTGTCAATAGACAGCTACTATAGGCCCTTCATCTTGACTGTTAAAAATTAATGCTGCCAAATTGTATAGATACTTTTCATAGAGAAAAATCCAGTTGGCAGAGCACAGCGAATGCTGCAAATGCAACATTGGGCCTTCTCTTTTAGAAGCATTGGATTTGCTTGAGCTCATCAGTATTGAACCTTTGCCGCGTCGTTACCAGAACAGCGCTGCATGAAAGGAAAGATTACCTTTTTTTGTTGTTTTTTTTTTTTTTTACTTAAATGGAGAGGGGTGGGGGGAGTCAAAATCTGATGAAGGACAGAAAATGTTAACATTTCAAATAAATACATTTATTTATAACAGATTATTCATTTGGGTAATATTTTTAACTGTGCTATTGTTTCTGGCTTTTGCAGAGGACTGCGTGGCCAGGTACGCTCTCACATAAAGCATGCAGCTAAATCCTTGTAAACAAACCAAATGGAATTTAGCTCTGGGCATGCATTCATTACAGCAGCAAATATTTGGATTTCAGGAGTTCATTTCCCAAACAATAGTTCTACTACTGTTGCATTTCAGCATGTTATAGCACAGTTATTTCTACTGTATTGTTCCTATTGTCTAGATAGTTTCTTCCATTCTAGAGATGGAAGCATAGCCTGATTTTATTACAGGACACGGAGGCGAGTATTAGGCTTATCTCTTTCTTTTATTCCTCAGCAGCAAAGAAAGCTAAGGTATTCATAATATAGAAAAAAATGAACAAATACCCTCACAGGGTTAACCATTACATCACTATCCCTTAGCCAATGGGAACAGTCCACATATCATATAGTCCCATGTGACCCCCATCTCTTCCTCTTTCTTTGCTGCTGCCTCAGCTAAGTACCACCATTTTATTTTCACTCTGACACTGTCTGTATTTATATCTGTATTTTTATATAGTACTGTACTGCTTACTGTATATAAAGTTTTTGCTTTATAACTGTGTAAGATCTTACTGTTAAATTTGTTTGTACTGGCCCCTTCATGGGAGCCACTTAGGGGTGAGCTGCTTCAGGCTGCCGCCCACCTTTCTGTTTTCCCGCCCGCCAGGGCGGTTAACCCATTCTCCCCTTGCACTTCGGGTAGTTTATTACCCTAATCTCGCGCCGATTGCAGTTTCCGGCTACCCAGACGTGGGGCATCCTCTTTGGAGCCGTCCGTTCCGTCTGGGCCCAGTCGCGGCTGCTCATCGCGGTGGCCATATTGTGTGTGGCAAAGAGATTTTGCCACGTTTTTCCCAGCTCGCACGGCTCATCGAGGGGCGGCCGCGAGCTGATTGGTCCAGACAACTGACTGTCAGCTTGCTAGTGCACCCCAGCGGCCATTCCTGAGGGAACACTCGGTAAGCTGACAGCTCAGTTTTGTTCTGTGCCTTGCCTTCAATTATTCTGCCTATCAGTGCAGTGTGTGATTAGACACTGTTTATTGTGACAGGCAAGTAACTGCTTCAACTGTTATTTTCTCACTTCTGTACTGTGTAGCCTGTTTAGTTACCTCTTGCTAGTAACATGCAGATCCCTAAAGAATACCCAAACACTACCCCCACTCTGGCTGAGAGTGTCTCCAGACACCCTTTAACCACTGAACCTGGGCTCCTACTCAGCCAAGGGAAAGAGGTAACCCCTATGGAGCAATTGAACTTGAAATTGAATTGAGTTCCATTCACTCCTAGATGCTACCATGACCAAATCGGTCACCCAGGCCATCTATTCCGCAGTGGGGACAATGTCGGATACTATATCCCACTTCATCACTAACGCCATAATGGCGTCTAACTGTAACCCTGAGGTGTCCCGCCCTAAGGCCTCTGAAAATAAGCCAATAGCACAGGGCGGCCGTAAAGCCACCGCAAAGACCCACCATGTGGGTGTGCATGCTTCCAAAACTGATTTTACGGACAGGTTGCATCCTGTCAATATTGAGGTCGTGGGGCCCCCACGAAAAAGAGCCACCCGCCAAGCAAAAGCGGCACAGACATGGAAAAGGGCAAAAGCCTTAACAGACTCGTCCGACTCGGATTCGGAGGAGGTATTGGATGAGTCCGACGAGATCGGCTTCAATGAATCAGAGGTTTCCTCCCCGTGCCAGAGCCCAACACGCAAAGCAAGCATAACCACTGTAGAGAGCGCGGATACATACGCTATCCTTTGCAGAACCCGAGGTCGGCAGAATGGTTCCCGACCAAACATGTAGCACGCTATATAGCGGCCAGGATCAGGAAATCCCTGGATAAGGCCACAAGGAACAAACTTAGGGCGGAATGCCCGCGCCCTACGTCCCCGACATGGCTTGCACCACGCCGGACATAGACCCCAAAGTGGCCCAATATTTGGGGAAATCTGGCTGGAAGGCAAAAAAGGGGCTTGACTACTCCTTATGCCACTGGCAGGACAAGGTGTTAGGCCCCAGTGCAAAAATCTTTGAAATGTCGAAGCAGCCTTAACCGATGGGACCCCAATTGACCTTCTGGCCATTAGAGGTTGGGTCCAACGCTCCATATGCCTTATTGGCAATGCAAATGCAGCTCTAGCTACGGAGCGAAGAAAGGCCACCCTCATGAAAATTGTACCTTAACCTGGTGAATATGGCCATATCTGAGCCTGGGCCACAGGCAAAAGGATTTCTCTTCGGAGATAACTTCGTAAAGGAATTGGGCATTGGGCAACTACGTCAATACCTTTACGGCGTTAGACAAGGCACAAACAAACTTAAAAAGAGTGTTCTCCCCAAAAATTTTTGGTGGGGCCGGCAGACACAGGGGCCATCTGTCCGGCCGCTCTTCCCGAGGTTCATACCAGGGATACCGAGGCCCTGCCACACCTAGATTTCAGCCTCCAGAGAACAAGCCCCCTTCATCCTTCTTCCCGGTCAGGGGCAGATCGTGGCAGTCACGAGGGACCAGGAGCATCTCGTATGGTCGACGGCCTTATGATAAGTGTCCTATCACCCCCTTCCCCGTGTATGTCTATAGTGGGGGGCAGACTGTCTCACTTTGTAGAAGCCTGGCGCACACTAACGACAGATGTTTGGGTCCTACACACAATCTTAGGTTACCAAATCGAATTTATACAACACTCTGTCCAAACCTCCAGACCACATCGGATAGCCTTCTCCACACACGACAGGACCCTGGTAAGCAAGGAAATCCTTGCGCTGCACAAGAAGGGCGCGATCTATCAGGTCCCGCCATATTCTCACGGCTTCGAGAGCAACCTCTTTCTAGTGCCCAAGAAAAGCGCGGGGGGGTTCGACCGGTCATCAACCTACGCCCCCTAAACGCATTTGTGCGATACCACCATTTCAAAATGGAGGGGATCCATTGCCTTCGGGACCTCCTCAGATTGGAGGACTGCATGGTCAAACTAGACCTACAAGACGCCTACCTTACAATCCCCATTGCCAAAGACTGTCAACACCTTCTCCAATTCCAATGGGAGGGGACGACGTGTAGATTCCAAGCCCTCCCCTTTGGACTATCATCGGCCCTGTGGTGCTTCACCAAACTGCTGAAGCCCGTGGTGGCTCTCCTACGCAGCAGAGGTGTACGGATGATCATATATCTGGACGATATGCTGATCATGGCACACGACACCCAACTTTTTCGACAACACCTCTCCTGGGCACTGGCCCTCCTACAAAATTTGGGATTTTTAATCAATTGGAAAAAGTCAATATTGACTCCATCCCAGACCATGGAATTCCTGGGATTCAACATAGACGCGACAAAAGGAACACTCAGCCTACCGACCATGAAGGTCAAGAGCATCCACAGGACATTGGCACACCCAATATTAACCTTACGGCAATTGGCCAGGATAATCGCCTCCTCTCAGCCTCCATCCAGGCAATTTTCCCGGGACCCCTCCACTGCAGGGCCCTTCAAAGGCCACACATTTACGCTTGGGGCACTCATACTCCGACTCCGTTCCTCTCGACCACGAAGCCAAACAGGAACTCACGTGGTGGCTCCAGCACATGGAAGCATGGAACGGCAGAGCAATCTTCGGATCCGCACTGGACTTCATCATAGAGTCCGATACGAGTACACACAGTTGGGGAGCGCGCTGCGGGCCTATCTCCACTGGAGAAATATGCTCATTCTCATAAAAAGAACTGCACATCAACGGCCTGGAACTCATGGCAGGTTCCTTTGCCCTGAAGAGCCTCCTCTGAGCCACGACCAACTGCTCAATCGTTCTACGAATGGACAATATTTCGGCAGTCCGCTACATCAACCACCTGGGTGGCACGAGATCACGGATCCTTATGGAACTGGCCAAAGAGTTTTGGCAATACTGCCTGGATCGCAATATTTCGGTCCAGGCGGAATATATTCCTGGCCTGTCCAATATAGTAGCGGATTGGAACTCCAGACATCTGCGAGATGCCAGCGATTGGCGACTGGACTGCAACACATTCCTACAACTTCAAACGCTCTGGGGTCCGATGTCCATCGACCTTTATGCATCTCGTCTGAACTTCCAGTTACCAACGTTCTTCAGCTGGAGACCAGACCCAGACGCTTTAGCAATGGATGCCTTTCTCCAGCACTGGCCGAGGGATCGTTTATATGCATTTCCACCTTTCGCCCTCATGGCACGGACACTAGTGCATCTCAAACGAAACCGGACATCATTGGTCCTCATAACTCCTTTCTGGACTGCTCAACCTTGGTTTCCATCCCTCATGGAGATGTCCATCAACCTTCCGAGATTGCTTCCCTATGTCTCACACCTTTTACTGGATCCAGAAGGCAACCCACACCCCATCTAATTCAGGGGAACCTCAGACTTTTGGCATGGCTCCTCTTCGGGGACTCTGGGGTATACCAGATGTTCCACAGGACACTCTCGACCTACTGGCAGGAGCATGGGCACCTGGAACGAGACGATCATACCAATATGCCTGGAATGGCTGGAGTAGTTGGTGCATGGAACAACAGGTGGATCCCGTACAGGCTCCTGTGAATTACCTATTACGTTTCCTTACCAATCTATATAACCAAGGTTTGGCTTACCGTACCATTAACGTCTACAGATCAGCAATCTATGCCGTGGATACATCTATGTATGGTGCTCACTATACTAGAGGGGCCATGGCTTCAATGGTTTTCAATTTGGGCTGCAGATTAGAAGACCTTCTTAGAACTGCAGATTGGACCCGTGAATCTATGTTTAAAGAACACTATTTTAGACCAACAGAACATGTTTCCTCTATGGTTATATCACAGCTTTGAACTAGCCTAATAAGGGCCTCCAGATTTTACTAATTACATGACGTAAAGTCATGATTTTATTAAGGACACGGAGGCGAGTATTAGCCCACCCAGATATGGTATGTTTGGACCTTTTTTGTATCCCAACCCAGGTACGTAATAAGTGTTCATAGTACATGGAGGAGTTTGCTATTTAATGCTTGACTCGTAAAAATCTTCAACAGGTACCTAATATAGGTATTATTTAGACAGGTAAATGTTTATACTGGTGATGGTTTAATACTACGATAATATGAAAATAGTTGGGGGAACATATTTTACCACTTGTTTCTCTCTGTCCCCTTCTAGCCTAAAAGTTATGACACCCCTGCAACATCGACATCTTCCACAGTTCGAGAGGATCAGTTCGGAAGATCTGGCTCTCTATAGGAAAGATTTGTCGCTAAGATTTCGGCAACCCGCCTGTTCTAATGTTTCAGTTGTTTACTTAATGGCTGTTATTAAATATTAGCTTTGGCATCAGCTAGAAAGAGGAAGAGATGGGGGTCACATGGAACTATATGATATGTGGACTGTTCCCATTGGCTAGGAGATAGTGATGTTAACCCTGTGAGGGTATTTGTTCATTTTTTTCTATATTATGAATACCTTAGCTTTCTTTGCTGCTGAGGAATAAAAGAAAGAGATAAGCCTAATACTCGCCTCTGTGTCCTTAATAAAATCATGGCTTTACGTTATGTAATTAGTAAAATCTGGTAATTGTTATATTAAAATTAAAGATTTTCCAAAAAAACAATAGTTTCTGGTAACTTGAATTTCAAATTGCAAAGTTTAGCACAAACGAGGTACATTGGAAAAAATCTCACATTCAGATAATTTGGATATGTGTGTTTGGTTTGGAGATTTAACCACTCAACAATTATCAACCATCTCACACAAAAGAATTGGTCTCATAAAAGATTTCTATCACTTAATGGGACACTATATTCACCAGAACAACTACACATTAATGTAATTGTTCTGGTGAGTATACTCCGTCCCTGCAGCCTCTTTGCTGTAAATAATATCTTTTCAGAGGTAGTGCTTACATTGCTTCCTAGGGACACCTCCATTGACTACTCCTCTGATGGCCACCGGAGGTGCTTCCTGGGGCAGAACTACACAGCTACATGCTCTGCATGGAGACACTGAACTTTTATGAGATACTGATTGGCCAAGCTGGCATTTGGCCCTGCCCCCGCCTCCTTGATAATTTCAGCCAATCAATGCTTTTCCTATGTGAAAGCATTGGATTGGCTGAGATAATCAGTTCTGGTGATATCAGCCAAGGAGGCGGATCGGAGGTGGTGCCAGTTACCTTTTAAAAAAAATAAATTTATTTTTGTTGTTCTTGAGCATAGCAGAAAATGTACATTATACACTGAAAAAATTGCAAAGAAATTATTTGTCAATGTAAATGAGTGTACATATGTATCAGATAAACAAAAGGAGAAATGAGTGTCCTAACCAATTAAAATATAACTTTTAATGATAATACTAAAATCTAGTGAAAGTAACTTAATAGAAATAATATTCTAATATTCATAGGTATATTAATAGACCAATAGATATATATCATTGCACAATCTGCTAGTAGTAACCTTTAGCTACAGTAATGTGTATACATGAAAATACACCAAACAATGTAATAAAGTGCAGTATTCTCTAGAGAAGGTTTCTGAAAACTTTTGAACAGAACCTCCCAATGACTATATATATTGTTATCCACTATTAGTTATTTTCTTGCACCATCTGTGTTTAGGACTTCAAACCTGGATTTTTCACATTTGAGTTATAAATATAGTTCATTGCTCTGTATATACCGTATATACTCGAGTATAAGTCGACCTGAATATAAGCCGAGGCCCCTACTTTTACCACAAAAAACTGGGGAAATGTACAGGGAGTGCAGAATTATTAGGCAAATGAGTATTTTGACCACATCATCCTCTTTATGCATGTTGTCTTACTCCAAGCTGTATAGGCTCGAAAGCCTACTACCAATTAAGCATATTAGGTGATGTGCATCTCTGTAATGAGAAGGGGTGTGGTCTAATGACATCAACACCCTATATCAGGTGTGCATAATTATTAGGCAACTTCCTTTCCTTTGGCAAAATGGGTCAAAAGAAGGACTTGACAGGCTCAGAAAAGTCAAAAATAGTGAGATATCTTGCAGAGGGATGCAGCACTCTTAAAATTGCAAAGCTTCTGAAGCGTGATCATCGAACAATCAAGCGTTTCATTCAAAATAGTCAACAGGGTCGCAAGAAGTGTGTGGAAAAACCAAGGCGCAAAATAACTGCCCATGAACTGAGAAAAGTCAAGCGTGCAGCTGCCACGATGCCACTTGCCACCAGTTTGCCCATATTTCAGAGCTGCAACATCACTGGAGTGCCCAAAAGCACAAGGTGTGCAATACTCAGAGACATGGCCAAGGTAAGAAAGGCTGAAAGACGACCACCACTGAACAAGACACACAAGCTGAAACGTCAAGACTGGGCCAAGAAATATCTCAAGACTGATTTTTCTAAGGTTTTATGGACTGATGAAATGAGAGTGAGTCTTGATGGGCCAGATGGATGGGCCCGTGGCTGGATTGGTAAAGGGCAGAGAGCTCCAGTCCGACTCAGACGCCAGCAAGGTGGAGGTGGAGTACTGGTTTGGGCTGGTATCATCAAAGATGAGCTTGTGGGGCCTTTTCGGGTTGAGGATGGAGTCAAGCTCAACTCCCAGTCCTACTGCCAGTTCCTGGAAGACACCTTCTTCAAGCAGTGGTACAGGAAGAAGTCTGCATCCTTCAAAAAAAACATGATTTTCATGCAGGACAATGCTCCATCACACGCGTCCAAGTACTCCACAGCGTGGCTGGCAAGAAAGGGTATAAAAGAAGAATATCTAATGACATGGCCTCCTTGTTCACCTGATCTGAACCCCATTGAGAACCTGTGGTCCATCATCAAATGTGAGATTTACAAGGAGGGAAAACAGTACACCTCTCTGAACAGTGTCTGGGAGGCTGTGGTTGCTGCTGCACGCAATGTTGATGGTGAACAGATCAAAACACTGACAGAATCCATGGATGGCAGGCTTTTGAGTGTCCTTGCAAAGAAAGGTGGCTATATTGGTCACTGATTTGTTTTTGTTTTGTTTTTGAATGTCAGAAATGTATATTTGTGAATGTTGAGATGTTATATTGGTTTTACTGGTAATAATAAATAATTGAAATGGGTATATATTTGTTTTTTGTTAAGTTGCCTAATAATTATGCACAGTAATAGTCACCTGCACACACAGATATCCCCCTAACATAGCTATAACTAAAAACAAACTAAAAACTACTTCCAAAAATATTCAGCTTTGATATTAATTAGTTTTTTGGGTTCATTGAGAACATGGTTGTTGTTCAATAATAAAATGAATCCTCAAAAATACAACTTGCCTAATAATTCTGCACTCCCTGTATAGACTCGCGTATATGCCTAGGGTGGGAAATGCAGCAGCTACTGGTAAGTTTCTAAATAAAATTAGGTCCCAATAAAATTACATTAATTGAATATTTATTTACAGTGTGTGTATATAATGAATGCAGTGTTTGTGTGTAGTGTGTGTATATAATGAATGCAGTGTGTGTATATAATGCAGTGTGTATATAATGCAGTGTGTGTTTGTGTAGTGTGTGTGTAAACTGGGTGAGGGGAGGGCATTTTTATTTAAAAAATGTTTAATATTATTATTATTTTAATATTATTATATTTTAATATTATTTTAATATTAATATTATTATTTTAATTTAATATTTGTATTTTTATTTAATTGTTTTTGTCCCCCTCCTTGCCTGTTGCCTGGCTAGGGAGGGGGGCTATGTTAATCCCTGGTGGTCCAGTGGATGGGCTGTGCAGTGGGGGGGCTGGCAGAGAACTGTTACTTACCTTTCCCGCAGCTCCTGTCAGCTCCCTTCTCCTCCGTGCAGCTCCCCGTCAACTCACAGTGTAAGTCTCGCAATCTGTGTGCCGCGCGGACGGCCGCGCGTCTCGCAAGTCTTACACTGCAGTGCAGATATTACTAGACATTTGTCTGTAACACTCTAAAATAAGATCTATTTCAGCCCTATACTTCATCAAAGAGTTTATAGGGTTCTCCAACATATTCTCCGACTGACAAGTTATTAATTAATATCCATTGGTCTATCACTATACCTATGAATATTAGAACATTATTTATATTAAGTTACTTTCACTAGATTTTAGTATTATCATTAAAAGTTATATTTTAATTGGTTAGGACACTCATTTCTCCTTTTGTTTATCTCTTCAGTCCATGGGTTAACCACTTTACGAGAGCTCCTCAAGCTTCCTGTAACGGAGCTCCCTGTACTCCGACTGAGTACCCTCCGTTGATGGATGCTCCTAGCGCTTCCTGAGGACTCCAAACACTGCAGCCGACACCACAACCACCGCAGACTCCACAACCGCCGTGGCTTAACTGGAGTCTCGCCGTCTTCCTTCCACCCTGGATCAGCTTCTGTCCTCCAGGACCGTGTGGGGAAGACCTCTCCTCCAGGAGAGCGTAACAGGAACAGCTCTTAAAAGAGCTAAGTGATTAAAAGCTCAGGGGAGTATGCAGAGCATAGCAATCCCCAGTGTGATATAGCAGTTCCCTCCAATAACGAGACAAGGCTACGTATTGAGGGTCAAGAAGATCTGATGTTTAATGGCACACACTCTGCTTTTATGAGATTCTGCCCATGCAAGGGAGACACCCACATAATTAGCAGTATAACCAATCGGAACAATATACATTCGGGGAAATTCCCATCCCTCAGATAATCACATAACATAATTAAAACAGAACAGTAAAAATACAGTTTTTATACATGTACTATAACTTCCAAACTACACATCCAATCTTCATAAAAATTACATATTTGGAATCAATCCATTAAGGGGAGCAACATATTAAAAAATGGCACAAATCAGACAAGGGGTTCAAAAGTTAGCAAAAGTGTCTTTTGGGGCCTGGCTGGCAGCATGGTTTTCTGGCCCAAACCGGTTTTACAGAGGCCTCTATCCTGGACAATGGGGAAAGTAATCCAATTATCCAGGGATAGAGGCAGACTCCATTAACCACATGTTAGCAAAAGACACAAAAAGACACAAAAATACATAACTCCTATTGAACTGAACAGAACCCCCACATTCAACCTATCCCCAGATGGCTTGGATCTGAGCGCTCAATATATCCAAACAGCGCTCAGATCCCACAAATACAGTCAAATCGCCATACACACTAGGTCCATAGTCATGGGGCAGAAGGCTGGCAATTAGGCTTCTCCATAACACAGGGAAGCAGGGCAATTTCTCAAATAAAATAACAGTTACAAATGGCAGTTTGTAACACTTCCTTCTTCCTGTTTTGTTCTTTACATATGTATCAGCACATATTAAAATGAAATAACAGATAATATATTAAGTCAGTTAAAAAGACAGTGAATATACAAGCAATATGCACTAAGTTTGGTCATGGAGTGAACAGTGAGAGAACAAGAGAAATTACAACAAATTACTTATCAAGATAATTCCCGCAAAAGGCTCCCATAGTGGCAAAGTGGATATAGACATAAATGGTATGAAGACCTCAAGGCAAATAACCAATATTAGCTCAAAACAAATTGTAGGGTTAGACATTAGGACATATAAATAGCAGATGAATAACCCGGAGCTATGGATAGGTCTATCCTGATTTATCCTAAGCCCTCCGTGGGCAGAACAAAGTCCTGCATGAGGGAGAAATACTGCAGGCATCCATGTCCAGGAGCGAGCAGACTGTTCATCTAACACTTCACATCGCCTTAGCAGTAGACCGCCACAAGACAGCATAGTTGGCGTAGGTAGCCGCTCTTCTGTAGTGGGGCTGGTTGGTGCAGTTTGAGCTCCAGTTTGTGCCAGATATTGACAAATGTTTTGTCCAGTTAGGCCAGGATATCGAGCTTAACGTCGCTAGAACCGGTAGTGCATGCAGTATCTGCCATTTTGAGTAAGTCACTGTGCCGTTTCTTGACCAGTGTAGCTTCATACTGAACTCCAACCACATCGGAACAGCTTCCCATGGGGGGACCAGGATCAACCCTGCTGGTCCAAGAGGTGTTTACAGAGCACGTGAGCATCCTCCACTGCTTCTGGGCACCTCTGGGACAGGACAACGGGCGCTTTTCCAACCCAATGCGCACCAGGCTGCAAGATCCGAGAAGGAGTAAGCAGGCTCCTATTGGGTCACTGATTGCCATGAGCTATGCCCTCTATTAGGTAGGTTGCCAATGTTGGCCCAGTACGAGCGTAAGAAGGCAGTAGGATTCTGCCAAACTCATGATTATGTGGAAACCTGCGTAAAACACATCTCTTTGCCATGCTGATCAGGCCCCGCCCCCCAGTTTTATTACCGTTTAAGGGGGAGCAAGCCATCTAAGTGGTGGTTTTAACACTATAAGGTCAGGAATACATGTTTGTGTTTGTATGTTTGCATTTCGGAAGTGCGACTGAACTGTATTACCGAATTGCCGAATTGAATTGCCGAATTTCGGAAGTGCCGAAGTGCTTTGGATTTCTGAAAAGTTGCATTACAGGAGAGGCAGGGAAAATTAAGGGAATGATTACAGGAATCTAACCCTATCCCTAACCCTACTAGGGGTAGGGATGGGGTTAGGATAGTGGTGGTGTTAGGGGTAGAGGTAGGGTTAGGGGTAGGGTCAGGTTAAGGGTAGGGTTAGGGTTGGGGTTAGGCTTAGAGAAGTGCCAAAGTCCCGAATTTCAGATTGCCGAACCGAATTGCTGAAGTCCCGAATTTCGGAAGTGCCGAACCGAATTTTTTGCCATGCACATCCTTACACATTAGTACAGCTGTGCGGAAAAAAAAAAGGTTTTAGGGGGGCGTGACCAACAGCGATACCGAGCGGACGTCTCCTGGAAGATCTCCGCTCAGGCCCGAGACAATAACCATCAAACAGCCACAAAAAAAGCAGAAATTTCGCCCAAGAAGCAGGCATCCCCCAACAGAGACAATGGGGAGAAAAAAATAAGAAAGCTCAAGGACCAGCCGGTCCCCGCCAGCCGGATATTAGGATCTCCTTCGAGCGGCCGGCAAACTCACAGGCCGTAAAGATGGCGCCTGATTCGCGCCACACACACACACGGCATATGAGGCCTCGCAGGACGAAGAGGAATCCTTACCCTCCACCTGGTCAGAGACATCATCCTGCCTATCTGAGTGGGAGGAGGATGAATAACACTCTCTACAAAAGGGGATATTAAAAGACTCCTAACAGAAATGAGGAAAATCTGGGGTGCAGACCTCAAGCACATCCAGGCAGAGGTAGGGGAGGTGCGCCAAAGAGTCCAAGTACTGGAAAACCGTGAGTCTGTCAGAGAAAACCATGGACACCCACCGAGAACAACTTACCTCTCAAGTGCAACAACTGAGACGCTTGGTGACCACAATTGAGGCAAGGCACCGGCGAAAAAAACCTCCGTCTCAGGGGGATCCCCAAATCAGTGACAGATGAGCAGCTCCTGCCTTATGCCCACAAGCTGATAGCAAACATGGGCATGGGGGTGGTGAAGACAGACAGCATTCTGGGTGCGGAAATCGGTGGCAGCCCCAAGCGGAGCACCCAGGGATGTTATCATGGTGACCCTGGACATAACTACAAGATCAGTTATCGTGACACGCTCCAGAGAAATGGGGACAATCACTAATGAAGGGCACAGGGTGGCAATATTCCCTGACATACCGTTCACCGGACTCACAGAAAAAAGAAAACTGGCACCTATAGCCAGGAAAATGCGAGACTCAGGAATAAGATACCGCTGGGGAGTGGAGGGATCCCTTCTGACAGAAATAGAGGGAAAGAGTATGACCCTGACCTCAGAAGACAACCCAGAGCCCTTCCTGCAAAAGATGTGTCTGCCCCCAGCACAGGAAATCCCAACACCCACCAAGAGACCCGAGACAACAGAGGGGCCCAGTGAAAACAACCACACACAGAGCAAATCACCCAGCTTCAAAGTGAAGAGACTGACTCCAGCACCCAGAGCCACAGAACCGCGACCTTCCTCAGAGAAGAAGGACCGACCAAAAACTGTTGCTAACAGAGACTCCCTTTGGCAAACGGGCCGAACTTAATGACCCACCAGAGAGCGACCACAGACCCTGGACTATACCACCGAGGCGATTGCGACATCTAACCGATACCCCGCTACCAAGCAGACACTGTCCCGATTGACAATCCCACAGAGACCCAGATACCGGCATACCTACACAAGCCACAGCAACAACACTGCTGATCCAGCCAGAACTACCCAAATAGCGTTTCCCCCGCAGCTCCCACAGAGAGTCAACAGGGACCCCACATCGCATTGCCCACCGAGACCTAACTGCCGAGCCCACTATACAAGGTGAGGCAGGGGAGTTATGGCGGTTGCCGCCGCTGAGCCACCGAGCTTCTGAGCCACTAAACCAGGGCTCCAACATAGCTCCCCAATGTGATACCACAGTGACTATAAATGTGTCTACCCAAATATAGTGCATAACTAAATATACTGCATAACTAAGTATATTGCATAACTGTATACGTTGAATTCAACTTAATAAAAATACAAAAAAAAAAAAAGGTTTTATACAATAAAATTGATAATACTGGTAACATAAATTAATATAATTGGTTTAGAATTGGTGCACAAAGGCATAACTTAAGTCAATTTTGGAACTTTTTCTTGCAGAAAACACAAACCAGTGTAAATTAGTAATACAGTAGAATGAGGTGCTTTGTTTATATCACGCGCCCTTGAGCTGCACAGTATATATTACAGATTTACTTGTAGAAACAAAGTTTCACAGTGTGAAATAATTCCAGATACTTATCATAGGCAGCCTTCCTGGTTTATTTTAATATTTCCAATCAGATAATAACCAGAGAGACATAGCATGGTAACTTCCATCGTAGCTGGATAAAGTGACAGTTACAAGTGACCGTTGGAACCGTTAGAATCGATAACACTATGAATGTCCTGCTCCATCCAAGCATCCAATACAGCTGCCAAAGAACACTTCTTAGTCTATGCGTATTTATTAACCTCCAGGATACCGCACATAGTTTAAAGAACTTAACTGGGGCAATGAATGAAGCAGTGCATTTTATTTTACAACGGGACCCTCCTTCCTAATCTGGGATTACTGGGAGGTATTGACTGTAGTCAAATATTCCTTGCACCTTAACTTCAAAAGCATTGTTTAGTTGAATGTCAACAATGCTGTGTGTCTCCTTGCCACTGGTGTCAGTGGTAGCTCCACCTTTTGTCAAATGTAGGAAAAATACATAAGAAAAATCTTGACTTTTGAGTGGGTTGGAATTTCAGTGACATTCCACCACAGTCTTTACAACCATTTCATATAGATTTTATCTTCATGAAATTTTTATTTTTTATTTTACAGAGCCACTTGAATTAAAATGTATAGTTTATGCTGTAAGCAGTGTACAAGCATATCTTCCAACATCTGAAATGGACAATGAGGGACACTTTAAAGGACCACTATAGTGCCAGGAAAACATACCTGTTTTCCTGGCACTATAGTGCCCTGAGGGTGTCCCCACCCCCAGGGTCCCCCTCCCGCCGGGCTGGATGGAGAGGAAGGGGTTAAACTTACCTCTTTCTCCAGCGCCGGGCGGGGAACTCTCCTCCTCTTTGGCTGAATGCGCATGTGTGGCAGGAGCCGCGCGCGCATTCAACCAGTCCATAGGAAAGAATTCACAATGCTTTCCTATGGACGCTGGCGTCTTCTCACTGTGATTTTCATAGTGAGAAGCGCGGAAGCCCTCTAACGGCTGTGAATGAGACAGCCAATACAGGCTGGATTAACCCTAACATAAACATAGCAGTTTCTCTGAAACTGCCATGTTTATAGAAAAAAGGGTTAACCCTAGATGGACCAGGCACCCAGACCACTTCATTAAGCTGACGTGGTCTGGATGCCTATAGTGGTCCTTTAATTTCAGGAGTGTGAGTGGGGGATAAGGCTAGGGGCGGACTGTTCTGAGATGTTTTCTGTGACTTACTAATAATTTATGCAACTAAAATGTAATTAAAAACAAAACCAATCTTATCTTAATTACACACAGACTGATTTCTAAACACATTTATTGTAGTTTCAAGTCATATAAATGTGAGTTTTATTGCTGTGGAGCTGTGTTATGCATTTAAACACACCAACAGTAAGGAGCTCCTAGAAAAGAGAGGAACAGATGGATTTGATCATAAAGTAGGGACTGTCCCTCCTACATAGGGACACTTGATAGGTATATAAATGTATTATTAAATGTTAACATTAAACTAATACATCTATATAATACAATACCATGCAATGCTTTGGATGAACAAATAAAAACGAAATATTGTGATGGATACCACTAATTGAACCACATGTCTGTCCATCACAGATTATTGTAGTCTGTATAAAAAAAATGCTCAACATTTTATGTTAATAAAGTTGAATGTGGAAAGAGATAGAAAAAAAAAATAATACACTCAGAGCTTTAAACCCGGAAGTAGGAAATCCTGGGCGTGAGGAGACGCCTGATTGGCTACGTCGTTTGCGCTACGCCCAAGAAAGCTTGGTTACCAGCGCCTCCCTGGTTGCGGAGACGCAGTTTTTTTCCCCTTATCATTGGCTGCGCCCAGTTTACAAGAATTGCGAGGCGTGAGTAACAGCGTAAACGGTATGCTGGCTGCTTGTGACTGATGACGTCACGTGTGGGCGGAGCTATGTTGTGTGACAGGGGACATGCTGTGGTTGGATGGTGAGGATCACATGTACCAATTCCAGTACTGAGTGAGGTAAGCAGCACTGTGTATGTATAGATATTTTACACTTTATATATGGCTACATGGAAGGTAATTGGTGCCCTTTACACACAGGCCTGTGTTCAGCCTGCCATTATACAGCTGGGCAGCTCCATGCTCACTTTGCAGGACTGTGTGTAGTTATGGGAACATGTCATTAACCCCTTAAGGAGCAACATAATAATTCTGTCTTAATTAAGTGACCCTTAAAGACCTTGAAATATAAAATACAAATGGCTTATTCATATCAAATAGTAATGGTACATGGGTAGAAAATGCCATATTGCTATGGGGTGTTTAGAGACCAGGTTAAGATGAGGATATTAAATGGCATTGGTCCTTAAGGGGTTAAATTATCTAACCTAATCTTCACTGATATCTCTGTATTTAGGTCTGCAGATGGTAGGTTACATTTTTTTTTTTCTACATCTTTTTATTATTTGATTTTACATTGTTTCACTAATTTCTCCTTTTATCATGATTTGCAACGTCCTATAATGAGAATGTCCTCACCGTATGATGCTTCTTCACTGTCTAATAACTATATGGATTTGCTGGTATTTCTTCTTGCATACAGGATCTAAGAATGTTCATTTGTATTGGTCTTCCTTCCCTCTTTTTATTGATTCTCCATCCTTTTTTTTTTTTTTTTTTTTTAACCCCATCCAAGCTGTGCTGACATTTGTTTCTGTGTTATCTTTTTTTAGGCATATCACACATCAATGAGTCTCAGTTCACAGGGAATGTCATTAATCTGACTATAATCATGGATTTCTAGCAAGAACAAAAGGACTATTTATTTAACAGCTTAAGACTCAGGAGGTAAGCAGTACCTATGTGTTTCTCACTTGTGATCCATCTCTTTGTAACACTCCTTCATAAACACCACAGGAAAACGTCACAGTTTAACCATTTAATCATTTTCACTTTTAAATGCGTTATGTTATTGGAGATACACGTCTAACAAATATACATTTTCTAGCTCTATGAATAGAATTAATGGAAAACTTTAAAGACAATATTAATTTGCACAAAAAAAAAAAAAATCCAGTTACTATGTGAAAGTCACACTGTGGGTAGACTGGTTTTGTTTCCCTATCATATGTATTACAAACCATATACACATTTTTATGGTTTGTCTTGCTGATATCCGTGCCCCCCCCATGGGTTTCTCAGAACTATAGAACCATATGCATATGCTCGCAAACTTCTGGAATAAAAGGGAATCATGACATGTCACGTGTCCTTAAGGGGTTAAAGCAGTGTTTTTTAACCTCTGGTATGACCCACAATTTGGACCCAATGGTATTTCAGTGGGTGTCTGTGGTTGAAATAGGCATATCCTATCGATCTGGCAAACTGCCTACGGTGAACTATTAAAAGGACACTATAGTCACCAGAACATTTACAGCTTATTGCATTTATTCTGGTGAGTAGAATCATTACCTTTAGGCTTTTTGCTGCAAACACTTTATTTTCAGAGAAAATACAGTGTTTACATTACAGCCTAGTGATAACTTCACTGGCCACTCCTTAGATGGCTGTTGATCCTTCCTGGGTCATGGCTGCCTAAAATGCATCCAAACATTCAGTGTCCCCTCCCTCTGCATGCAGACACTGAACTTTACTCATAGAGATTCATTGATTCAATTCATCTCTATGAGGAGATGCTGATTGGCCAGGGCTGTGTTTGAATTGTGCTGGCTCTGCCCCTGATCTGCCTCTTTGTCAGTCTCAGCCAATCCTATGGGAAAGCATTGTGATTGGATCAGGCTACCACTTCTGCTGATGTCAGCAGGCAGTGGGCAGGGACAAAGTAAGCAGCTGCACACTTGAATACAAGTAAAATTTTACTATATTTAGGGAGGCATGAGGGAGACAGGGGGGCTAGATTGTGGTTTTGACCCTGTAGGGTCAGGAATACATGGAAACCTTTAAAGAAGGGCTTTTGCAGAATTAAATATTTTCTAATATATCGCAGCCAATGATTTGGCCACTGAGACACTTTTAAAATAAAAGATTGGGTAACCAAGCACCATGATTGTAAACATGGATCTTTGGAAAGAAATACACAATTGCTTTAAAGGGTATAAGTACTAGCAAAATTGCTGGATACTTACAGCTAAACATAACAGGAATATTTCCATTGCAAACCTGGATATAAATAAATGTATTTTTATTTTTATTTGCTCAAGCTCCGCTGTTCTGATGTTTTAGTTCCTTGTTTTTGTTTTATACTCCCATCCTAATACTTGGGCTGGTAAATACAATAGTGTCCTTATTTCTACACATATTTGTTTTAAGGAATACTCAGGGCACCATACCAACTTAATTGAAATGAAATTGTTATGGTGCCAATATGTCCTTGTCGCTGATTTACCTTTAGGAATTAAACTGTTCACAGACTTTTTTTTTAACCCCAAAGTCTACTTTCTAGCACAGTTTTTCGCTGCCCCTCCAAAATCTATCTTCTGAAAATCTTCAAAACAGAAGCCTCTTTGCAAACAGTCAAAATTAAGTACTAAGTAAACAGTATTGCATACATCATCACACATTTTTGCTTGTATTATTGGTGTAATCAGACCTTTTAATCTCCAGTCACACGTTTTGTTTACAGGACTGTGAAAAGAACAATAAATGATCAGTCACTTTGTACCAAGTAGTCTCTTTAGTTCTTGAGCAAAAGCACAGTTTTGAAAATGGTTTGAAAAACAATAGAACATTTTTAAATTAATTAAACAATTAATCCATTGCAGTTAATTGAAAACCAAACTGTAAATCTGAGCCTAAAACCTGCAAACTTACTATAGCTGAGTAATTTTTTCCCCCTCTTTTTTCAAATTGGTTTCAATTAACTACATAGATTTTCAATATGTGTTTAGTGAATAAAGCCTTTTGTCAGATGGATGTGTGTTTAGTAACCAGGAAATATGGGATTAATTAGCATTCTGCAGAATAAAATGCTTCAGCAGTAACATTTAGAAGCCATGAACCAAAATCTGTTTTAAATAGCTGTACGTTTGTAAGTATTACTCACATCACAGGAAATAGAAATCATTTGGAAACTGATAATAAATTCATGAAGTCTGTTTTCTGTGGAATCAGATTTTGTCAAGTCAGCAACATATTCGTTACTCCTCCACAATGACTGTTTCTTTGAGAGAGATTTAAAATATTTGAAAATATAGCAGAGAAAAGTTGTGAAAACTCGTATTAACATGTCTGTACTCAATATGAATACATTTAGAACTTTTAGATTGATTGGTTACTCCAACCAACAACCAGTGTTTTCTCCCCTCAACCCAATCTCTCAAATATGTATTTATTCTATTGTTGTCCCTGGTCCCATTTAGATTAAATCCCCTTGTACAAACTTGCATAATATTTTTTACTGCCTTTTTATCCACCCGCAAAGGTGCTCTCGCCGCTGCTGCCACGTCTAATTCTAGTAAAGTAATCCGGATGGATAATATCAGCCAATCAAATGTGTCTCCTTAGAGAAACATTGATATCCCTATTGCACATGCACACCATTTGCCTCTCTGAGCCAATAGGATTCTCCTGACAGAGAAGCATTACAGTGTTTCTCTACAGGTAGTTATCCCAGCAAACATGAAGACTTAATAAAAAATAAATTTAAAAAAGTTTGCACAATGAAGTACCTCAAGCAGCTGTGCTGTTTTACAAACGCTAGAGGCATACAGAGTGACAAATGTATGTGTTTACTTTTAGAATAAATAAAATGAAAATATAGACATGTATACAGGGCTCTTTGATGACATGCTGTATTGATAATTTTATTTAATTACTAAATAGTGGTGAATTGAAAGCTTTACGAAATATCTACTTCAACCATTGACAACGGAGTAGATTTAAGCTACAAGAATGGAAAGGGGTTTTTAAAGTAAGAACAGTGAGACTTTAATGTGTTCTTTTGTGTTTAATGTCTGAACTTGGAGTGTTTTTTTTAATTTTTTTTTTTATTAATTTTCCCTACTATTTAGGAACTAGGGCCAAAAGTTAAACGCTACGCAACATTTTCATATAAGAGATATGCACTCTGGGAACTCACTCTCTCTACTTCTTTCTCTTCTCTCCTCCTTTCCTATACTCTTATATGCCTTAACTCTTTTGTGATTATGGCTGTACTCTGTAGTTGCTGTTGTGTTTTTTTTGTTTTGTTTTTTTTTTTAATACTTTTTGTAATTCTGGATACAATCTCTACGTTCACAGTTCAAATGTCTTTTAAATTCTAGATACTGCTGATAGGGTTGAGACCCTGCTATTGTTGGGCAACCCAGTTATAGCTCCTTGCTGGCTTCCCGAGGCATCAAGCGATTTGGCACTATGTTACCGCTGTCAGATGCCCTTTGGCTTAGGGCACTCAGAGTTAATGCCAATTACTACATTTACTGAATTATTGGTAAATGCCTCACGCATAAGGCTGTCAAGCACTGCTCTGTCCAAGGGTGCCTTTTTAATTTTTGTGGCTGGCTGCCACGACGATCTAATGCATCAGTACATGCAGCAGAGTTAGATACAAACTCTGTACCTGGAACACGCCAGGTTAAGAATTCTGGCAAGTGAAGCAGTACAGCATTATGCCTCAATTAGTTCTCACACTCTGTGATTGCAACCAATATCATAGATTGGATTCCTTTGACAGCAATACAGATACTGTGATTGAGTCAGCCTTAAATACCAGGGTAGGATTGAGGTTAAAGAGAAATTCTAAGAACCAAAATCACTTCATGTTAATGAAGTCAATTTAGGGCATAAATTTTACCCCTGCATCCAGGCAAGTGAAACCAGTGCTATTTCTGAGAGATGTCTTTGTTTACATTTTCAGTGTCCACACCTATTAGTGTCTGTCATTCATTGGACTACTAACACAAAAAGTGATTCAGCTATTGACTCTAATTGACATCAGCATGCAACGTGTGATGTCGACAGATATAGTTTACCTCCAATACTTCTCTACAAGAAGCATTGGAATCCGTAAAGGCTTGGCAGATCACTGCAATTTATGAGCAAGTCGAATGTCCGCATTGCTTCTCTATGGGAAGCATCTGATTGGACATCTTCAGGATTGATGACTTCACTGAAGTAGGATTGAAAACTATTTTTAAATAGTGTTCTATAGCTGTGGTTGGAGACTGTTGGAAAGCATTGAATATTAAGGTAAATGCACAAAATATACATGCCAGTCAGAATTTATGTTTTCAAGAATATGTGTATGTGTGTGTGTTTATGCAGTGTGTGTGTGTTCTTGTGCCTGTGCCTAAGAGATAATTGAGTCAAGAACTGTACTAAACTCAATTATCTCCTGGCACAGAAAACACACATTTTACAATCTCCTGAAAGTACCCCCAAAACACATGGAAACCCCACAAGTCACATCCCCTGATAGCCCCGATCTGGGGAACAAATATTTCCAAAAATCACCCATATCGGTTCAGGGGTTCGGGATTTCCAGGGAGGTCATAATTTGACCTGAAATCAGGCTGTGCGTCAGGTCTCTTTCGGGAGTACAAAATACAACAATATACCGAACAGAACTGTTCGTACGTGTGCTTGACTTATGTCCCTCGTTCGGGAGTTTGCTGCCACCGAACGCCGCTCTTCTCATACGAACGTCAACAAACATACTTGGAGATGGGACTACCAGTGGTGTTCGCACCGTCAGTGTCCGATTTGGGTTTCATACACTTAACGACCAAGTGTAGATGCCACAGTGAGGGGTGGACAGGGAGTAACTTGAAAGTGTTTCAAATTATTAATATTTTCAAACCATGTTTCCGGTCCTGCTAGAATGATAACCTGAATAAATACAAGTCGTCTAGCTCCTCCATTCAGTGTGGATATATACCGAATACTGATACAAATTCGGTGACAAG